TGGCCAAGACCAGAGAGCTGTGTAAGGACATCAGGGATAAAATTGTAGACCTGCACAAGGCTGGGATGGGCTACAGGACAATAGGCAAGCAGCTTGGTGAGAAGGCAACAACTGTTGGCGCAATTATTAGAAAATGGAAGAAGTTCAATATGACGGTCAATCACCCTCGGTCTGGGGCTCCATGCAAGATCTCACCTCGTGGGGCAACAATGATCATGAGGAAGGTGAGGGATCAGCCCAGAACTACACGGCAGGACCTGGTCAATGACCTGAAGAGAGCTGGGACCACAGTCTCAAAGAAAACCATTTGTAACACACTACGCCGTCATGGATTAAAATCCTGCAGCGCACGCAAGGTCCCCCTGCTCAAGCCAGCGCATGTCCAGGCCCGTCTGAAGTTTGCCAATGACCATCTGGATGATCCAGAGGAGGAATGGGAGAAGGTCATGTGGTCTGATGAGACAAAAATATAGCTTTTTTGTCTAAACTCCACTCGCCGTGTTTGGAGGAAGAAGAAGGATGAGTACAACCCCAAGAACACCATCCCAACCATGAAGCATGGAGGTGGAAACATCATTCTTTGGTGATGCTTTTCTGCAAAGAGGACAGGACGACTGCACCGTATTGAGGGGAGGATGGATGGGGCCATGTATCACGAGATCTTGGCCAACAACCTCCTTCCCTCAGTAAGAGCATTGAAGATGGGTCGTGGCTGGGTCTTCCAGCATGACAACGACCCGAAACACACAGCCAGGGCAACTAAGGAGTGGCTCCGTAAGAAGCATCTCAAGGTCCTGGAGTGGCCTAGCCAGTCTCCAGACCTGAACCCAATAGAACATCTTTGGAGGGAGCTGAAAGTCCGTATTGCCCAGCGACAGCCCCGAAACCTGAAGGATCTGGAGAAGGTCTGTATGGAGGAGTGGGCCAAAATCCCTGCTGCAGTGTGTGCAAACAAAGGTTTCTGTACCAAATATTAAGTTCTGCTTTTCTGATGTATCAAATACTTATGTCATGCAATAAAATGAAAATTAATTACTTAAAAATCATACAATGTGATTTTCTGGATTTTTGTTTTAGATTCCGTCTCTCACAGTTGAAGTGTACCTATGATAAAAATTACAGAACTCTACATGCTTTGTACGTAGGAAAACCTGCAAAATCGGCAGTGTATCAAATACTTGTTCTCCCCACTGTATATATATATATATATATATACAGTTGAAGTCGGAAGTTTACACACACTTAGGTTGGAGTCATTAAAACTTGTTTTTCAACCACTCCACAAATTTCTTGTTAACAAACTATAGTTTTGGCAAGTCGGTTAGGACATCTACTTTGTGCATGATGCAAGTAATTTTTCCAACAATTGTTTACAGACAGATTATTTCTCTTATAATTCACTGTATCACAATTCCAGTGGGTCAGACGTTTACATACACTAAGTTGGAAAATTCCAGAAAATTATGTCATGGCTTTAGAAGCTTCTGATAGGCTAATTGACATCATTTGAGTCAATTGGAAGTGTACCTGTGGATGTATTTCAAGGCCTACCTTCAAACTCAGTGCCTCTTTGCTTGACATCATGGGAAAATCAAAAGAAATCAGCCAAGACCTCATAAAAAAATTGTAGACCTCCACAAGTCTGGTTCATCCTTGGGAGCAATTTCCAAACGCCTGAAGGTACCACGTTCGTCGGTACAAACAATAGTATGCAAGTATAAACACCATGGGACCACGCAGCCGTCATACCACTCAGAAAGGAGACGCGTTCTGTCTCCTAGAGATGAACGTACTTTGGTGCGAAAAGTGCAAATCAATCCCAGAACAACAGCAAAGGACCTTGTGAAGATGCTGGAGGAAACAGGTACAAAAGTATCTATATCCACAGTAAATCGAGTCCTATATCGACATAACCTGAAAGGCCGCTCAGCAAGGAAGAAGCCACTGCTCCAAAACCGCCATAAAAAAGCCAGACTACGGTTTGCAACTGCACATGGGGACAAAGATTGTACTTTTTGGAGAAATGTCCTCTGGTCTAATGAAACAAAAATAGAACTGTTTGGCCATATTGACCATCGTTATCTTTGGAGGAAAAAGGGGAACGCTTGCAAGCCGAAGAACACCATCCCAACCGTGAAGCACGGGGTGGCATAATCATGCTGTAGGGGTGCTTTGTTGCAGGAGGAACTGGTGCACTTCACAAAATAGATGGCATCATAAGGAAGGAAAATTATGTCGATATATTGAAGCAACATCTCAAGACATCAGTCAGGAAGTTAAAGCTTGGTCGCAAATGGGTCTTCCAAATGGACAATGACCCCAAGCATACTTCCAAAGTTGTGGCTAAATGGCTTAAGGACAACAAAGTCAAGGTATTGTAGTGGCCATCACAAAGCCCTGACCTCAATCCTATAGAAAATGTGTGGGCAGAACTGAAAAATCGTGTGCGAGCAAGGAGGCCTACAAACCTGACTCAGTTACACCAGCTCTGTCAGGAGGAATGGGCCAAAATTCACCCAACTTATTGTGGGAAGCTTGTTGAATGCTACCCAAAACGTTTGACCCAAGTTAAACAATTTAAAGGCAATGCTACCAAATACTAATTGAGTGTATGTAAACTTCTAACCCACTGGGAATGTGATGAAAGAAATAAAAGCTGAAATAAATAATTATCTCTACTATTATTCTGACATTTCACATTCTTAAAATAAAATGGTGATCCTAACTGACCTAAGACAGGACATTTTTACTAGGATTAAATATCAGGAATTGGGAAAAACTGAGTTTAAATGTATTTGGCTAAGGTGTATGTAAACTTCCGACTTCAACTGTGTATATAGATATATATATATAGAGAGAGAGAGAGAGAGAGAGAGAGAGAGAGAGAGAGAGAGAGAGAGAGAGAGAGAGAGAGAGAGAGAGAGAGAGAGAGAGAAGAGAGAGAGAGAGAGAGCGAGAGAGAGAGAGAGAGATAGGGAGAGAGAGAGAGAGAGAGAGAGAGAGAGAGAGAGAGAATAGAGCGAGAGAGAGAGAGAGAGAGAGAGAGAGAGAGAGAGAGAGAGAGAGAGAGAGAGATGTGTTACCCCTTGGCAGCGTTATCAGAAAGCACAGCATTGATTTTCACTGCTACGCAGACGATACAGATCTTTACATTTCTGTGTCACCAGAGGATCTTAGCTCCACGGATAAAATATTAGACTGTATTAGTGATTTAAATACTTGGATGGCTCACAACTTCCTCCAGCTAAATCAAGACAAGACCAAGGTACTAATGGTTGGAGCCACAGCACAGACATAATCTGGCCGCACATTTTAATTCAAGGCCAAAAAAGATAATACAGCAGGTAAAAAACCTAGGTGTTATTTTAGATTCTGAACTCAATGTCGCGTTTTAGAATTATTTTAAGATTCTTCTATTGGTTTTTAAATCAATCCATGATTGTGCACCCCAATACATGTCAGACATGCTATCCAGTAAGTCCCTCAAGTCCTCTGGCACTGGCCTTTTAACTATCCCAAAGCCTAGGACCAAGAGGCATAGAGAAACAGCCTTTAGTTATTATGCCCCCAGCCTCTGGAATAGCCTGCCAGAGAACCTGAGGCGGGACAAAACTGTGGACATATTTAAAAGAGATCTTAAAAACACACCTTTTTAGCTTTGCTTTTCCTTATGGTGCCTTTTAGTCATTCAGTTTTAATTGTTATTCTTTTATTTTTTATCCTCATGTTTGTTGTGTAGTAAATATTTCTGTTTTTATTTTCATTGTTTTTATTTTTTTCCTGTGTTGCATTCCATGGCTGAAATGTGCTGTATAAATAAAGCTTGATTCGATGATTTGATTGGACTATGCAGCTGCTGCAAGAGCAAATTTTTTACTGGGTGTCCACTGGTTGCAAAAACAATGATTGATAGGCAGCTTAAACGTCTTCAATTCAGCCATATTTTTTTTTTAAATACACATATACATTTGTGAACAGCCATCCACAACAACCACAATCCTTCAGCCGCAAATAGCAGTGTGATTCACATCAATGCGCTATGTAGATATCAATAATAAGTGGTATCAGTGTTGACCGTAGACTACACTTTACCTCCAAGCATTTATTCAAGTTGGATAATCTTTGGATGCCGACAGCAGTCACACCATTGGAAGACATAGCTTGGACTGTAGCATACAAAAGCCTATTCCTGCTCTTTCCCGTGATCCATCAAGCTAATTTGGTGTGTCATCAGTGGTCTCTGACCAATTTAAATGTGCACCTTTTTTTCAATGCTGATATGAATGTCATTGAGAAAACAGAAAGGTGTCAAATAATTATTTCACAAACATCCTTTCTGAATTTCAAAGTAATCCTATAAGTAATCTAGTTTTTCAAAAGTATCTAATCTGATTACAATATTTTATCTGGTAACGGATTACATCTAGTTTTTGTGTGATCAGTTACATGTAATCCGTTACTCTCCAACCCTGGTCATGCAACACAGTTGTTTGAGATGAGATTAACTGCGTCTCAAATGTCACCCTTCTCCCCATATAGTGCACTACTTTTGACCAGAGCCCTATGGGCCCAGCTCAAAAATAGTGCACTAAATAGGGAATAGGGTGCCATTTGGGACGCATTCTGTGTGTTTGAATTGGCCAGTAAAGTGTAGATTACAGCCCTGCTAATTAACTAGTCACAAACCGTCCTGATTAAACTGAAGACATTGCCGCCTCTCGTCACAGTGCCGTCCGCTCCTACTGGCAATGCTCAATTAACTGCATATGATGGATGGCCAAAGTACCCATCGCTAACAGTATATTACCCAATAATGCCCCGTACAAATATTGTAAAGTCTCATCATAAAGTGTGCTGCTTACAAATAACAAGGCCTGCAGTTATCTGCAGTAAGGAGTTGGCTTATAGGTAAGTATAGAGAACATTATAAAATAATTTTCCTGAGCAAGGATTAAGAGAAACAAGAGAACTGTGCTTTTTTAAAGACAGATTTAAATACATTACCTGATGGCCTTGCAGTGGAGGGCAGTCTCGGTGGTAGATGGTCTGATGTCTCGGCTCTCCTCTGGGGACAGCAGAGCAGTTTCTCTACATTCCTCCACCCGCAGTTCCCCCTCCCAGTCACCGGAGGCGCTGCCGTCTGGCTTGTAGGTGAATATGATGGTGGGTTTCTGACTGGGGTCCTCGTTCTTGGCCTCAGAGAACCAGTGGTGGCGTTGGATGGGTGGAGGTGGCAGCATGTGGATGACCGTCCCGTCCAGCCCCACCAGCTTGCCCTTCTTCGTCTCCTTCTGCGCCTTCTCCCGCTGTTCGTCCTCTTCCTTCCGCCGGCGGAAGAAGCTCTTGAAGGAGATCCAGCGTTTGGGCTTGGCGCTCTCTGCCGCCACCCGTCTCCCCTCCCCTCCACCTGGGCTGGTCTCTCCGTCACTGGGGCGCGAGGGGGAGCTGGAGGCGGCAGGCTTGGTCCAGTGGCCAAAGTGCCTCTGAAGGATGTTGGAGGCGTAGTATGGGGAAGAGGTGGATCTGGGAGGGGGGAATGGAGCGTTGGGCTCTGACTTGGTGGGGCTGGACAGGGGCACGGCTGCTGAGGCACTCTGGGATTTGGGCAGCTGCTTAGAGGGTGTGTCCTTCCTGGGTTTGGACAGGCAGCTGTCAGTGGAGGAGAAAAGAGACTTGGGTCGACTGAGTGTTTCTTTGGTGGCATTGGGTGGGAGGGCGTACAGCTCCTCGATACTGCAGGCTTTAGAATGTGGGGAAGGTGACTCTGGGGGAGACTGTGGGGGCTGGATAGAGGCAACGATCTGGGACAACACAGTGCTGGCCTTCTCCCGGTGGCCTGTCCCAGTGCCTGATGACAGAGGGAAGTCAGTGCTCCCCTCTCTGCTGGATGTTGTCTCCCCACTGATCTTGCGAGTGCGCCCACTAGTGGCTGAACTGGAGCTGCTTTTGGCCAAGATGGCAGCGACAGTGAGAGGAGTTGGAACAGCAATCGATGTGGAAGCTGAAGGAGAAACAGCACCAGCAGCCATGCTCGCAGCTATGGTCGTGTCTTTAGTGGTTCTGGCGGTTAGCTCCTGTCTTATCAGGGCTGCTGCAGCGGCTCTCCTTTCTTCAGCAGCAGCTTTCTCTGATGCCGCTTTACCGCTAGTTTTCTCTGTAGGAGAAGGCTGGACACTCTCTGAGGAGCCGATCTCTTCGTAAGTGTGGCTAGCCACTCTCCCTTCCTTTAGTTGGGGCACCTCCCCGCTTAGACCCAGGAAGCTCTTATACACCGCCAGGTTGTCGTAAGCACTTGGGTTGATGACGATAGGCACCTTGACGGCGTTCTTGGATCTGCGGGAATATGTGGTATCATCCCGGATGATGATAGGGAAGGGGGGCATCCCTGCGTTGTTGTAGCTGTTGAACTTGATCTCGGACAGGTTAGGGGATTTCACAGGTACAGTTCGAGAGGAGGAGAGGCCAGCAATGGGGGAGGTGGGGGCCGACTTGTGGCTGCAGTTGCGAGGTGGGACAGCAGGGCCAGATGCTCCAGTGGACTCCAGATCCAATTTGGCAATCTTCTGACGGGGACTGGTGCTAGACGTCCACACCTCCTGGTAGCGGATGGCACCTGGTTTCTTGCTGGCATTGCCCTGGAAGACAGAGGGTGTGGTGGATGTGGGGGAGATGGGAGATGATAGGGACATGGGCGAGGCTGGAGACAGAGGCTGGCATAAGGGGGAGATGGGGTAGGAAGAGGGGATAATGGGAGTCTTTGGTTGTTTGGGAGTGCTGTCTTGGTTTTGTTCCTCTGGGCTAGCCATGGATGCAGACACGTCCACCACTGTGTAGGGCTTACATATAAGATGCTTCTCCAGGTTGACCACACGGTAAGGTTTGGCTTGCTCCTCTGTGGGGCTGAAGCTGATCGTCACCGGCTGCCCGGGAAGAGCTTGGGGCATAGGTAAGCCCTCCCTGCAGTCCTGATCCTCCAATTGGATGGCGAGAACAGCCTTGTGGGTCTCCGTGACTTTGGGTGGACTGACAGCCTTCTGGGTCTGTTGTTCCTTGTCTGTACCAGCAGCCTGGAGGGCCGGTGTTCTGAAAGCGGAGGGGGAGTGCAGGCCGTTTCTCAGGGGGCCACAGGGAGCACTGCTGCTGCAGCTGGAAGTGGTGCGTAAGTCCTCCGGCAGCGATGATGAAGACTCGGGGGAAGTGGTGCACTCCGAATTGGAGAGGAAGCCGCTGCCCTGCAGGTCATTAGGGCCGTACGGAAGGAGACTGTGGCCTCCAATGGCGTCCGTGGAGGGGTATCCATTAAGGATCTCATCATAACTGTCGTCATAGTCCACGGCGCAGATCCTCTGGAGTGAGCGGTTACGTAACGGTACAGTGTTCCACTTCTTCCCCTGGGCAAAGGGGACTGGGGAAAGTGTGGCGGCACGGAAGTTGGCGAAGCGCGGCTGGCCCCGCATACGGATCTCCATAGCTAGAAGCTCCTCGTCACTCTCATCCCAGCTCTCGTGTTCATCGTCGTCGTTCCCTTCACTTTCGTCATCTTCATCCTCATCATCGTCCTCTCCTTCGCTGGAGAACTCAGGGTAGCAGAAGCGCCCTCCTTCGGTGCTGATGACCTCCATGCTGTTGCTGAGGGACACCCTCTTTTGGGCGGCCCCTCCACTGCCGCTGCTGCTCCCAATGGCCAAGCAACCAGAAGCGGGGAGTCCTCTCTCTAAAGAGCGCTGGAAGGAGTTGCTGATGCGCCCCAAAAAGAGGTCCTTCGACCCGGACAAGGCGCTGGGGCCAGAGCCCAGGCCCGCAATCTCCTTGAGCATGTCAGTCAAACCATTGTCATTACCACTGGGTGCGTGCCGACTGCGCTGTCTGTAACGCTCAATCTCCTCCCCGGCATATTCCCCTTCATTGTTGTTATGCCCGCCGGGCTTCTTGCGGTTCATCCCATTGCGGGTCCAGACGGTAAAGGCAGAAGTTTTGCCGGGTTCACCAGCGTCTGGCGGCCGATGTAGGTTTCCCTCCAAGTCCAGGTCGGCGGAAGAGCAGGACAGCATCATGGTGGGCTTGACAGCGATTGTGGGCTTCTTAGCCACGGGAGGGCGGAAGTGGCCAGAGCGAGCTGAGACACTGCTACCGCCTCCGCCTCCCCTCTGGGAGCTGTTGCCGTTGGGTCTAGTTCCAGCAGGGGGTTGGCTCTGTTGCTGGGAGGGTTGCTCAGGAGCTGTCGTCTTCAGGCCACCCTCGGCCAGGCGGTGCAGGCTCTTGGGCTTAAAGCAGTTCTTGCACTCGCCTGGTTTCCACACGTGCTCCGTGAAGGTGTTGCAGGCGGACATGGCTGCTGTCCTGGTGAGGCAGCACGGTGGGTCAGTGGACAGGAAACCCCTCCATGGGAACCACAAAGGCAGGGGAATGGACTCTTCTACAGCACCGCTGCCTTCCGGTTAACCCTCAGGCCTAGCACAGAGACTCAACCTGAAAGGAAATGAAACATGGCATTATTAAACTGTCATATCACAACATTTGTTGATATCTATTTAATTGTTTCAGCATAACACATAAAAGCTTTAGTATAAAGTTTGTTTAATTCAGAATACTTGACATGAACACAGCATATTCAATGTATTATTGTTTTTTAAAGTAGCCAATATGATGAAATGATGTAATAAATATTTTCATTTTCAGGATGACTAACACTTTTTGAAAAGGGCAATAAACAAAAGATATAAGATACAAAACTGTAAGTATACCAATTATGTCCACCAAAATCTACGTTTAGACATGCCTAACGTATACAGCCCTAAAATGAAGGGTGAATCGCTCATGTGAAGTTTTATGACTTTACTTACACCATTTTTTGTGAGGTAATAATATTTGATAAAATATGTGAAAAGTCCAGACTGGGCTTAATGGGTACCGAATGTTCACATTAAGCCCATAGGTGTTACAAATAAGGTCACCTTTTAAATAAGCAATTTTAATTATTTTCCAAATGTTGAAAACGTACAAATTGACATTTCTTATGTAAGCTTAAAATTATAATAAATTCCCCCAAAGTTATTAAAATAAATTGATCATTACTATTCATGGCAGTAGCATTCATATCCACAGAGGCTGTTGTTCTTGCCAACCAGTACACACCTGATTAAACAAATCAACTAATCAGACTTCAATCAAGACTTGATTAGTTGAATCAGGTGTGTTACTGCTTGGCTAAAACAAAAACCTGCACACACACCGGCCCTCTGTGGATAAGACGCCATGCACAAAGACCACAAAGATCAACTTTTAATGAATTATTTGAAAGCAGGTTCACATTTGCTGTACTTCTTTTCATGTTAATTAGTCTTCCTAAAGCCGGTCTCAAGACAGTTTCAAATCTCCCTCTCTACTGTTGTATAACAAAGGTACAGTACATTTGGTGAATGAGGAACAACAATATTAAGATTACTATATTAGTCAATTGCACACAACTGAAATTGGACTTTTAACCCAACCCCTCCAAAAGACACACATACATACAGTGGGGGAAAAAAGTATTTAGTCAGCCACCAATTGTGCAAGTTCTCCCACTTAAAAAGATGAGAGAGGCCTGTAATTTTCATCATAGGTACACGTCAACTATGACAGACAAATTGAGATTTTTTTTCTCCAGAAAATCACATTGTAGGATTTTTTATGAATTTATTTGCAAATTATGGTGGAAAATAAGTATTTGGTCACCTACAAACAAGCAAGATTTCTGGCTCTCACAGACCTGTAACTTCTTCTTTAAGAGGCTCCTCTGTCCTCCACTCGTTACCTGTATTAATGGCAACTGTTTGAACTTGTTATCAGTATAAAAGACACCTGTCCACAACCTCAAACAGTCACACTCCAAACTCCACTATGGCCAAGACCAAAGAGCTGTCAAAGGACACCAGAAACAAAATTGTAGACCTGCACCAGGCTGGGAAGACTGAATCTGCAATAGGTAAGCAGCTTGGTTTGAAGAAATCAACTGTGGGAGCAATTATTAGGAAATGGAAGACATACAAGACCACTGATAATCTCCCTCGATCTGGGGCTCCACGCAAGATCTCACCCCGTGGGGTCAAAATGATCACAAGAACGGTGAGCAAAAATCCCAGAACCACACGGGGGGACCTAGTGAATGACCTGCAGAGAGCTGGGACCAAAGTAACAAAGCCTACCATCAGTAACACACTACGCCGCCAGGGACTCAAATCCTGCAGTGCCAGACGTGTCCCCCTGCTTAAGCCAGTACATGTCCAGGCCCGTCTGAAGTTTGCTAGAGTGCATTTGGATGATCCAGAAGAGGATTGGGAGAATGTCATATGGTCAGATGAAACCAAAATATAACTTTTTGGTAAAAACTCAACTCGTCGTGTTTGGAGGACAAAGAATGCTGAGTTGCATCCAAAGAACACCATACCTACTGTGAAGCATGGGGGTGGAAACATCATGCTTTGGGGCTGTTTTTCTGCAAAGGGACCAGGACGACTGATCCGTGTAAAGGAAAGAATGAATGGGGACATGTATCGTGAGATTTTGATTGAAAACCTCCTTCCATCAGCAAGGGCATTGAAGATGAAACGTGGCTGGGTCTTTCAGCATGACAATGATCCCAAACACACCGCCCGGGCAACGAAGGAGTGGCTTCGTAAGAAGCATTTCAAGGTCCTGGAGTGGCCTAGCCAGTCTCCAGATCTCAACCCCATAGAAAATCTTTGGAGGGATTTGAAAGTCTGTGTTGCCCAGCGACAGCCCCAAAACATCACTGCTCTAGAGGAGATCTGCATGGAGGAATGGGCCAAAATACCAGCAACAGTGTGTGAAAACCTTGTGAAGACTTACAGAAAACGTTTGACCTGTGTCATTGCCAACAAAGGGTATATAACAAAGTATTGAGAAACTTTTGTTATTGACCAAATACTTATTTTCCACCATAATTTGCAAATAAATTCATTAAAAGTCCTACAATGTGATTTTCTGGATTTTTTAAAATAATTTTGTCTGTCATAGTTGATGTGTACCTATGATGAAAATTACAGGCCTCTCTCATCTTTTTAAGTGGGAGAACTTGCACAATTGGTGGCTGACTAAATCCTTTTTTCCCCCACTGTATACAGGTTTTTTGGAGAGGAGCTGGCACACTGGGCGCCTGGGGAGCTGTTGTTGTGGGGGAATTAAGTGCCTTGCTCAAGGGCACAATGGCAGGCAACGGCATCTATGATTTAAGTTTACTCATAAAATATTTGAAAACCAAAGGTCGGGGGTATAAATATACACGATACTGTATACTACAATATTATGCAAAGTTAGTAATGATCATATTGAACTATATTTATTTATTGCCATTTACATTCTGTATAGAGGGGGTGCTTTTTGTGCTACTGTACCTTTTAAACCCACCTGAGATAAATGTAAAGTGTACAAAAGACACCTATGTATAACATTGCAAGGTTCAATTAAGAGTAAAATAAGGCAAAAACGCATTAAAAAATATGAGCTGTGAGTGATTGATATCTATTATATTGTTCACCAAGTTCTGTTGCTACTGTATTGGCTGTGACGTGGTACGACTGCTAGCATGAAAAAAAATACATATTTTCAATTGAAAATAAATGGTAATTAATACCCATGTAGTATGCTATCATGTGCATATATCAAAACATGATTCTCTTAATTTTACATTAAGTATGATCACTTATCTGAAGGTACTACAAATATCTGAAGAATGTGTTTATCCGAGTCACCTCCACACCAAAGTTGTTTTTTCAGCTTTGAAATCGGCCACTAGTAGGAATTTACACAACTGTCAATAACTTAAAGGGACATTTCTCCGCTGCCCTTTCACTGTATGTCCATTAATATTTTATTAACAAATAATGCCTAATAAAAATCCAGAACTTTCTCACTACACACAAATACGAGTGTTTCTACATCTCACCGGTAGAAACAGGCCATCTACATTTCCTGGTTGTAAGCAAACCACAATATCCCGAATTCAATGTGATTTCAGGTAGTGGTACCGCCACCGGTCGAGGTGGATCCAGTTGAGAATACGCGTCAACATGTAGCTAACGTTACTCACTGGACCAGCCCCTTGTTCATGAATAATACCAGATTGCGAAAGCACAATCCCCTCTTGAGAAAACAAAACCACCAATACACAAGCTAAGTGCTCCTCAAACTTTTCATACCCTTTCAGTCAGTTCTTTGGCATGGGGGGGAGGGGCTGTTAGTTTACTCCTCTAGCCTATTCACTCTATTTTTGGCAGTGCTTATTTACTCAACAGCTCAACTGTAGGTGCTCATACACAACAATACACGACTAGACTGTCTACAAGTTAAGCCCCCCTGAATTGTTCACACCTTTCCTAATAGTCCATCTCAATGCCCCATCATTGACTCTGAGTGTAACAAAACACATACGGCTACTGTACCCTTTTTTTGTTTACAGATGAACATGGTTTATTGTATGGTTAGACATCCTCATGATCAGTCTTCATGTCTTTCCAGGAGACTTGCAGTACAACCAAATCTCCTGCAAGAGGTCGAAGCAGTGGTTAGAGAAGAAAGTGTACGAGCCCAGAACCCACCACTTCAGGGAGAGGCTTGTCCACCTGGTTGTGGAGCGCAGAAAAGACAAGACGTGTTCTACAAGCAGCCAGAGTCACAGCTCCCCAAACCCAACATCCCTGCCAACATCGCCACAGCGCCAAAGCCTGCTAAACCAGCTGCCATTGCCCAACACAAGACTAGGTTCACTAGCTGAAGAACATTCAGCCAACACAACATGTATATTTTATATTTTATTTTTATTTCACCTTTATTTAACCAGGTAAGCCAGTTGAGAACAAGTTCTAATTTACAACTGCGACCTGGCCAAGATAAAGCAAAGATGTATATAATAATAATATAATAATATGGTCCTCTGTAGCTCAACTGGTAGAGCATGGCGCTTGTAACGCCAAGGTAGTGGGTTCGATCCCCGGGACCACCCATACACAAAAATGTATGCACACATGACTGTAAGTCGCTTTGGATAAAAGCGTCTGCTAAATGGCATATTATTATTATTATATATTATATTTAGCAGACGCTTTTATCCAAAGCGACTTACAGTCATGTGTGCATACATTTTTACATATGGGTGGTCCCGGGGATCGAACCCACTACCCTGGCGTTACAAGCGCCATGCTCTACCAATTGAGCTACAGAGGACAACATACAGAAAAGGCACCTCCCCCAAGCCAATTTAAGTAAAAACTCTTAGTATAGGTTAGTATTGTGGAGTAACTACAATGTTTTTGATCCATCCTCAGTTCTC